GGGCAGGTCTTCACAACTGTAGTGGAGCCATGAGGTGGAACTAGGTGTAGTCTTCTTCAGAAGAAATATCTGTGATGCTATAAGATTGTCACCCATCACCACCCATTATATTTACATCACCGAGACAAACAGAAAAGAAAATAAGCAACGGCCTTCTACATTGTAGGGCCATAGATGTGTTATTCCCTAAACATGGTACCTTTCTGCCATAAATTGCCCAGTAAATGATCATTTGTTAATCTCAACTGTGTGAGAACATGGTTAGCCTGGTTAGGTTATGCTGCCCCTCTATACACTTTTTCTCAAAGTCTATCTTTTGCATATGGTTTTTAGCATGTTGTTTATTTTCAATCAAAGTGGAGGCCAGAGTTACAGTATGTGGTAACTCATTTACCAGTGTCCCCATCTTTTTTCTTTGTTTCTACATCTGCAGAAATTTATTTTGAAAGATCTTTATGCCAGGAACCTTTTTTAAAGGTTGATCTCTTAAAATATGATGTATATTATTGGTGTACAGTATTATATAACAGGATGATTTGTGTCCACAGTCTTCTGGCATGGCCAAGAATGCTGAGATCCTGCCAACCAAACTTTTACTTTAGCCCCTCTTCCAAACAGTACCTGGGTTATGTTTAGATGGGGATTTCCAAAACCTCTCTTCTGAGCATTCCCCTTGGAATAACACTGGGTTGCATAGTTTGGCTAGTAGAACTGATGGTTGCTTAACAGGATATTTCTAAGGTGGAATTTGCTACAGATTCTTTTTCTCCTATATCCTCTCCGCCTTGCACCCCGTGGTGATTTAATTATTATGGTAGGATAACAGAATTAGTAATCTACAGCTTGAGGCTCAGGGGTAGGAACCAGCCATATTGGTGTCATCTAATTTATTCTGATGTGTGAACCCAGCCAGTTGCAGCTTCTTTACATAAATTCATGCATAAATTCAAGTCATGGGTCATACTTATAAGAAATGTGTGAAGATGTCGAACAATTTACTATGCATACCATCTTATTTCCAACAGGCAGTAATGCGTAGGGTATGGAGGCAACAGATTTCTTTCATTATAACATTCCAGGTTAAACCTATGATTACCAACGTGGCTTTAAAAAAAAATCTTGAGATTCTGGACAGAATAATGCTTGACAGGCTATCAAATTTTGTATGTCACATTAAAAAGCACAGTACGGGTTATGAATAAACTGGTGTTACGGATTCTGTGGCTTCTCATACATAGGTTTGGCCGGCCACTAACAAACAAGTTTTTCTGTGGTTGTTTGATATGTTATGCAGATTGTTTGCAATTTCTTTTTCTGATTTTTTTCATGGAGGAACAAGTCGTAGCACCTGGTTTTCATGATATGCTAATCACATCCCAGATGGAGCTATGATAGTTCTCGGGTCAACTCACAGGAGGAGGTAGCAAGCAAGATCCAAGCAACATGCATTGCACACTCATGGCTCTTGACTATAATTTATGGCAAATTAAAGAAGTAAGTAGGGCTGAGGGGGGAGAGTTTAGAGGCAAGGGAGGAGCAGAGGATTTTCATGATTAAATACAAAGTTCCTATACCACATGTTGCTTGGGGCTTAAGGATTTGTAGAGTATTGAAAATTCTACCCCAAGTGGAAAATGTACTGATGTGCCCAGTGATTTTATGCATTTTTCAGTACTTGGGGCTGTTGTTAGATTGAGTGAGGCACTTCGAGTGGCAGAAATAATGGCTGGTGGAAAATGATAGAAAGATGATGGAGGTAATGATGTATATTCTGCAGCTTCAAAGCTAATCAACGTTCAGATACAGTGGAGGATGCCGTCATATTGCCAACATTGACTCAGATTGTACCTAAAGTAAAAATGCACCATCAATCAATAAAATCTTGTTTTTCCTTCATGCAGCATAATACACTGGGCTGACCCTAACAATTTGGAACATACTGCCAGTGAAATAAGCACTAGTGGTTTCTTGTTATAATAAACACCTATCTTATTACCATATCCAAAGATCTAGGTCATTTCTCCTCAAATTTTCAGTAATTATGGAACACTATGTAAACATTTGAAGAAATGCAAAGGCTGCCTGATTAAACAAATTAACCCCTCCATCTACTTTTGTTTTTAAGAGCATGTGTTTTGGATGAATAAGCGATGATTATGGTTGCAGTTGTGTATGTCTTTTTATCCCTGCATTAAAAATCTTATAAAGCTCATTTTATACCAAACTTTTAAATCCAAATTGTATTATTTATTTACCATTTGAATTATTTTATCTTCCCATACATAATAGTATTTATCATAAATTCACTGGTCGAGAAACTTCATTTAATAGAAATCGATGAGAACTAAAAGGGTGGGGGCAGATGGATCTCAAACCCAATGAATTCTCATATTTAGATATTCATCACCATATAAGTAGCAATGTGAATAAGATTACTTGCTTGAACATTTCAGAGAAGTAACTTCTGCTCCTTTCTGTTGTGGCCCCACCGGTTGCCAGCAGAGCTGACAATAGAGTTGGACAGTGAGGAAGTTGGGGAGGAACTTGGGCCAGTCCTGGGGGCTGAGTAAAACTCGGATGAGGGCTCTGCGTTGGAGGCAGAGAGGGAGTTAGACAGCAGCGAGGCAGAGGTACAGCTGGAGCCCGTTCCCAGTGTGCGCACGCGCAAAGCTGCCAGAAGACAAGAACAATTAAGAAAGGGTAGACTTGGGAGTAAGGCCACACCTTGGAGATGATTGGCTCCTCCCATAGGACATAAAAGAGGAGGAACGGGATGTGAGCTTTTGCAGGAAGCAATTAGTTCATCTTGTTTCAAGATTGGAAAATTCTGTTTGTGACTCTAATAGACTCAGTGCTCTGCATTTGGAAATTGGTTCTCTGGCAGCGTTCCAAGTGAGATAATGTGGGGGTTGATAAACATTCCTCTGAACGACTGTTTACCAAAGCCTTGTTGACTGTGAATGAACAGAATTCATAGTTGTGTTAATAAAAGAGGTTTTACTGGGATTAAGACTTTGCTTCATGCTTTGTAAGGAAGCCTAGGTCAGAACATTTTCTTGAGCAACAGTTGAACAAAGAAGACTAGTTGTGAATGGACTCTTTCAAACTATTTTCATGCATGGAGAGTCATAGCTGAAGCAGCAAGCAAGTTTTAGCTCATGAATGTGAGAAGGTTGTGGCAGATCACACAGTAAAACTCCATAGACTATACTTTGAGAAACACTAGCTTAGATACTTATTCATGTCCTAGATGCTTACTCATGACTACCCATATCAACCAACTTGATGTGGGTGGTTAAATTAAACAAGCATCATATGGCATAAAGGTTGCAGGGGGAAAACACTTTGGCATATGTACAGCATTAGTCTTTGAATTTCAACTGGTTGCTTAGCAGCTTTTGAAGTTACGATGGACCTCCCCAAAAGTATGACGTGGTTCTGATGTTCTGATGGCCACCTCTAACTGCATTTCAGGCACTTGGCAACAGATTCAAATTTATGGCCATTTGAGCATCCCACACTCACATGAGTGTGATTTATGATGTTTTGGCTGAAAACCAAAAAACTTCTGGTTTTTGGCAAAAATGCTCTCTAGCAAACAATGGGTTTTCTTAATGAACATGTCATTTACTTAGCAATCACTGCAAAAAAGGTCATAAAATTGGATCAGTCACATGGACTTTACAACTTCACGACTTACAACCATTATGGGCAGACTCCTTTATGGATGTAAGTCAAGGACAACCTGTATTCTTTTCTTTACAAGAGAACTCTCAGAAACTTTTATTTTATTAGCTTTCAAGCTCAGAGACTATCATTGAAAATAACACATAGAGGCTTTCTTGGAAGAGTTTGCATTCATAAGTTTTTCATAGGATAAAAATAAACTCTTCAATGTAGAACTCATCATAGGAGATGATGAGCAAGAGAACCTCAGCTTCCTAAACTGGTTTACAATGTGTGTGTTTGAGAAAATAGGGCTGGATGGGATTAGTACATTAAAGAGTGATATATCTTGGCCTTCCCCAACTTGGTAGTACTGAACTTCCTGCCAGAATATTCAAAACATCCGGAAATACAGGATTTGGATAGATTAGTATACAATATCTAGATGAGAACAAAGGGAATGATTCTCTCTCAAAAAAGTTATGGATTTTGTTGTTGTAGTTCCGAATATATTCCCAAACAATAAAATATTCCTAACTTGGACCCTGAAACCACAGCTAATATATATATTATAATGCTTCGTTCATTAATATAGCATCTCATTTACTTTAGAATAACATCTGGACTCAGCAAGCAAAGACCACAGTGCAAATTCAGTATTGGTTATCAGAGAGATCTTGTGTGTCCGTTCTCTAAAATGATAGAAGCCACCTTCTTCTGTTTCTTAGTGTTCAGAAATCACTGTTCCAAGTCTCACAACAATCTTCTCTATCCCACAGGCAGAAAATTAAAATATTACATAATATAGATATTTTTATTTTTTAATTTGATTTCTATGCCGCCCTTCTCCGGAGACTAAGGGCGGCTTACAATGCGTTAAGCAACAGCCTTCATACTTTTTGTATATTTATACAAAGTCAGCTTATTGCCCCCACAATCTGGGTCCTCATTTTACCTACCTTAGAAAGGATGGAAGGCTGAGTCAACCTTGAGCTTGGTGAGATTCGAACTTACAGTAATTGCAGACAGCTGGTGTTAATCACAATGCTTTCAGTCTGCTGAGCCACCAGGCCCATCAGATATGATTGATTGATTGATTGATTGCATGCCATCAAGTTAGTGTCAGTTCTTAGATTTTCTGCATGAAGATCTGTCCCTAACGTGGTCTTTCAAGGTGTACTCATCATCACTGTATCTGAGTCCATCAAACGGACCTCTGGATATTATTTAAAAGGGCAGTGGGATAGCAAAGAAGCCATCCCACCTGCTTCCCATTAAATGGCATTGTTTAATCAATGGGATTCCTTTCATTTTTTTTTTGTTCATATTAACAGTTGGAAACAATGAGAGAGGTGCAGTCCAACAGATTTCCTGGTTCTGTTCCACAAAGAGTTTTGTAGGAAACCATTAGCACCTTGAATGGTATTCAGAATCTGGATCTAGATTGAAGCAAGTGAGTAGGGGCTTTGTTATCCATTTGTTTCTTGAGCTTGTTTGGCAGTTCAGAACACACACACACAATCTCTGAATTAATTACTAGTTTTTGAATTTATTATTTATTTATTTATTAATCAAATTTCTATACCGCCCTACTCCCGAAGGAGTCAGGGCGGTGAACAGCCAAGATAAAATACAGATAATACAAATAGTAAAAGTCCTTTAAAATTATTAAATATTTTGGCCGAAACACAGATTGTCCTCAGTGATGGAGGGATCCTTATAAGCAATATAATAGTAACTGTTTTCGGTATGGAGCAGTAGATAGAGCTCTAAATGTATTAAAGTTGCAAGATTTTGAGAATGGAATGCCTGGGGGTTCTCTGTCTCTTCAAGTTTGTGATGTTTCCAGGAAACGTTAGCTCTGCTAATGTTTGCAAGCCCCAGGTGAGTAACTGCCTAGAAACACAATGGTAAGGAAGACATTTCAAATGCAGATTGTTTTGCATTCGGAGCACCCCGTGGACTTCTCTAACAGGATCAAAATAGCCTATTTCTGTGCAAGTTATGTTTATGTTGTTTGCTTTGCCTGTATTCCCCACTCCCCCACAGACACCAAATCTACCTCTTCCTGATTATTAGTCACTCAATGGCTTACCGCCAAGGCTGTTTACCTGCTGTTCTAGAGCAATTCCCAGCTGTTAGATACCTCCTCTAAGTACTGGCTGTTCCTAGAATTGTTAGGAATTCTTATGGCCCTCAAACATTTCAGGATTTAGCTAGTATTGCCTTGTCATGATAACCAGCAGATACTGAAAGCATAGCAAGGGGCTTCAAAACTACCTTCTCTGCTAATTCATGCTCCTTTTTTTGAAGTTCCATAAAACGTTACCTGGTGTATTTTGGGACCTTATTCTCAGTTTTAGGGACCTGAAATCTATATTAAAAACAAAGTAGAAGTTCTCTGTCCTGTCCATAGTCTAAAATTGTACTGGATCATATGGGCTTTGATTCTATCATTTGAACCTTTGAGCCTTATTGAACCTATCAATGCTGCTTCAACTGATTTTTTTTTAATCTTCGTTACCATCCCCCAGCTGCTTGGCAGATAGGTTTTTAAGACCAGGTGATGAACATCCATAAGATACTTCTAGCCATCCTAGTACAGATTAGTTGGCTGAACACTTTAATCTCTACTATCTTCAAAACACTTGAGATAATAACTCACTCCCATCTATTATGGAGTAGAGTTCCTGGAATGTATCCATCAGTTTTAAAATTAAAAACATGAGTGCATCTTGCGCTAAAGTAAAACTTTTTCTTCTTATACAAGTTTGATAATGCTGATCAGTGCATGTTTCTTTGCCTGCTATAAAGTCAGGAAAATGTATCAGATTATTATTAATATGCACATTTTTTAAAAAAAAATATGAAAATTATAAACAGTTTTCTAGTGGCATAATTATTTTCCTTGTTCAGAAAGCCATTTTATATGTCTGCATTTTGTAATTACACAACAGAATGTGCCCATTGAAACACAAATTAAGATTTTGCTCAACATAAGCAAATAAATTTGTATTGACTAGGCCATGAAGATGGTAGAGTATCACAAAGATACTGATGCTGTGAAAGGTAGCTCTATGGCCAATCTGTCACACTAAGTAGCCTTCAACCTTACCTGACCTGACCTGACTTGAACTGGGAGTGAGAAGTGGATCTTGGGTTTCAGCAGAGAATTTGAGTTCAAGCTATTCTAAGTGCTAAAATGTAAATGGATGATAAATATTGAGCTTCAAAATGGTCCATTAAATAGTTCTGATAATATAGCCTTGTAATATTATGCCTAAACTATAATTATTTCTGTCCATAGCAAATGATTAGTAATTTTTCACTGATTTAGACTGCTGGATTGCATGCAGTATAAAACCACAACACTTAGCTTGAATAGTAGAGAAAGTTGAAGCCAACTGTTTTTGTGCTCTGGGAATTCCTAAACCTTGAGTCTTATCTTGTATAACAAGGCTGAAAATAAACAAAAATAATCAACATGCACAAAAATTCTAAAAATCCCACTTGCTGTGACTTTTTCTTTTTTCTTCAAAGTGTTCCTCCTTCCTTTTTAGGGAGGACAAAGAAAAGTACCTCCATGACCTTTCTTTGCAATGCCATCTCACAGATGAGGAGTTTCTCTCTTTCCCAGTTTTTTAATGTCTGTTTTTAAAAGCACATATATTGCTGGTAGCACAAATAAGCTTGTGCCAATTTATGCAGAATGCAGTTTTGATTTGAATCACTGACTCTTTAAGTTTAAATGGAGCATTTAAATGTGGGGCATTTAAAGGAAACTCTTGAATTCAAAAATCTGCTTGGATCTTTGCTGTTAACTTAGTGAATACTGTCTTAAGTCTAACTTGGCAGTCTTTCATTTTCAAAAAGCTGTTTTGGCCAAACTTGTTTGTGTGCCTCAAGCGTGATATAAGAACAATCATTCTGATGCTTTAAGTTCAATGTGTGCAATGCAGCTTCAAATCTCACCCAACTGCACTGTATGCAGGTAGATGAGAAGGAATATGAGACTACTGTTCCCAAATTACAGTCCTATATCAATCCCTCCTCTCTTCCTCAGTTATTGCTGGTGTTACTTTCTCTCCATGTTTTCCAGCCTCTGTTATCTGCTTCCACTGATAAGAACAATAGTTGGCAGGGTTGTGACAACACCTGCAGAATACAATAGCAGCCACACATTTCCAGTGGCCTCTAGCTTCAGTCTAGAAGGGTTTGGCCAAACCATTTTACTGTACTTTTGGAATTACAGGGAAGAGATCAGAGAGAAACTCCACACTTTTTTTTTTTTAGGTTTAAAAAAATAATAGACAACATTTCTTAGCAGCCAACAAGATTAAACAAGTAAAACTAAAACACAAGCAACTATAGCAGCTGAAGACAAGGACAGGAATCCTCTTGATTATAATGTGAATTATAAACACAGCAGTTTGATTGTTGGGCAAATAAAATCTTTGCCTGACCTAGAAAGAATAGCAGACATAAGACCTGGCACATTTTTAGGGGAGATTTGGCAGTCAGTGAGCTACCACTAAGAACTTCTCTATAGTATTACCTTCTGGAAAGCTTTGAAGGTTTTAGTAATCTTGCATGATCAGATGGTCTTAAAGCATTCTTATATAAAGAGCAAAATGTCCTAAATCTCTTAGGCATTATATTAGAGCACTGTTTTATAATCATGACAACTTTCTGTGAACATCAACTCCCAGAATTCCCTAGCCAGATTCTGGGAGTTGAAGTCCACATATCTTAAATTGCCAAAGTACAGAAACACTGAATAAGAGTCTTATTCAGTGTTCCTGTAACTTGTCTTATAAAGAGACTGGACAATCATTTACCTGAAATGATATAAAATCTATCTCCTGCTCGAGCAAGGGGTTGGACTAAAAGACTTCTGAGGTCCCTTCCAACCAGTGGTGGGTTTCAAACAGTGTTACCACCAGTTCACTTCGCGCACATGCTTTGCGCGTGATTTGCTTCGCGGAAGTGCATTGAATTTCAGAACAGCTGAGGCACGGCAATCCGCTCTGCCATGCCTATCAGCTGGACTAAAAACAAATGAATATAGGTAGGTATAGCGCAGGGGCAGGTAGGAGGGCCCAACTGACAGTTGGAGCAAATTGGTTCGCTCTCACCTCACCATCTCCGCTACCGGCTCGCCCGAACCGGGGAGAACCGGTAGCAACTCACCACTGCTTCCAACTCTATTGTTCTATGTTCTAATCTCCTCTGCTGAACACATTAGATCCCTAATGGGAGGGGGAAGGTGATCTCTCTGCATAAGACCAGAGATATACAGAAAACTATCTTAGGAATTCCTTGTCTGATACTTATCTCCAAGGAAGAACTGTTCTACTGGCCTTGTTTTTCTCAGTCTGTACAAATCTGAGTTAAAACATTTCCTGCCCGGGAGAAGAAAAATGTCAAGATTAACTAGCAAATATTTATAAAATAAAACTTAACACTGATTTTTAATTTTTCTTCCCCCCCCCCCCTTCAATGTTCTGTGCAATGATTACCTCTCTTCTTGGCATGCAGTGGGTCAAGGTATTTATGGGCAAGCTGGACTTCTTGCCATCATGTAAGGCTAACACATGGGGTATCTTTATGCGAGGCTCAGCAGACCTTTTTCCCAGTTGTTGCTGGCTTTGGCATTTGTTCCAGGATGGTCAGAGCCAGTTGGCTTTTTGCAAAAGTAGTTTTTTAATTGGATTATTATATATGTGGTAACTTGCTGCAGGCAGTTTAAGGGCCTGTTATTCATGCCCCAATTCTCTTAAGTGGTGGCAGCCAGGTTTACAGTTATAATATATACTTGGGTTGGCCACTCCTAGAATGAAGTCACCAAAGACTTGTGCTTTATTGATAAATATGTAAAAGGAACATACATGGATATGCAGTGTTAAGCACTGCAATAGATCCCCCAAAGTTATCTTGTCAGATTTCTTAGAGGAGCGTGGAATTTAAATAGCATTCTAAGATGTTTGCAAATCCAATTGCTCTGTATTTCTAAGTCTGTATATCTTTCCTGTTATTCATTGTATGTTGGGTGTGGATGCCTACTGTTCTGACCAGGCATGCCTCAGGCAATATACAACAACAAGAAATTCATTCACTTTTATAGTCAAAAATCACTCGGTTGAAAAAGATTGTAGGTAACCTATGCAACATAAATATTTCACTCCAGGAAAACACCACACAATCCCATGTCTGTCTGTCTGTCTGTCTTTTGCTTGCTTGCTTGCTTGCTTTTCTCTTCCTTCTTTCTCTTTCTTTCTCCCTCCCTTCCTTCCTAGGATATTTCCACTGGAGATGATAGCAGTTAGCACACTGCATAGGTGGGGAACTTTATTGACACAAATGGGGGGAAACAAAAAATACAGCTTGGTTTTCATGAAGTTTAGAAATGCTTTAAAGAACAAAATAGGCTTAATGCCTATTTTTCCCCTCCAATCACCTCCATGCAAACAAGAAACAGCTGAAAATAGAACACTCTAGGAGCTGCAGAAGAGGTCCTGGCGGTGTTATGCATCCCATGGTCCATCAGTTGTTCACTTTGCTCACAGCTTAAATACAGTGGAATTTAGTGGGGTAAAATTGTTGTGCCAATAACATTTAAACAATAAATATTTTCCTTACCTGTTTCAAACAGCTGTGATTTATAGGAAAAAATAACTCCTTGGTTTTAAAGGTGTTTAATATTGTAGAAACTAAATAGTGTGATCTGTCAACCAAGGAAGTCCTTGTTCTAAAATTTAATTCAACCATAAAGTTTTTGAATGGCTTCAAAGGAGCTGTTCTTCTCTCCTCCCCTCATGTGTGACAACATTCGCTGATTTCAGAAAAGCAGTTGCTACCTGTACATATGCAATGACATGAATGACACAAAATATAAAAATAGCAGTTGCAACCATGACTGAGAAGAAACTGTTGAAATTCTTAGGGGATGTATGCTAATAATACTTTCTAATAAAATATAACAGCTCTTGATCTACTAGGGTTAATAGTATCCATTCTACATGGATGCATGGTAAAGATCCTGAATCTCTCCAGACAATGATAACAAAGACTCCATTTCCCATCATTTTACCCTGGCTTCCTTTCGGCTGTTAGTCTTTTAGGATAGACTTGGTGTTTCCTCCTTATCAGCCTCCTACCTGGCTGCAAAGTATCTGAAGTAACCTCATCTACGGAAGCTCACCAGACCATAGACAGCAACCTCTTTCCTAATCATGTGTGCTGACAGGCAAGCACTTTCATGCTGCTTATCTTCCCAAAGGAATGTGCTACGTAGTGCATAGTGATGGACAGTGAGCAATGCATGATGATTAAGTTAGTCACGTCCTCACCCTTTTTGTGGTTTTAAAAGCTTACTGTTGGGTCTAAACTATCGCTGCATGTGGTGGTGAGTAGAGCAGAATCGCCATTTACGCTGAGGCCACATAGCAAGATACATTTCCATGAGTGTATACCTCCCTTGGGATGGCATGTGACTTAATTGTTTAATGGGATGAGAGAATGCCCCATTCATTTTGATATAACAGTTGGAGTTTTTTTTGTTTAGGAAGTAAGAATTTTTGGTCTACTCTGATACCAGAGTAGTATCTTTGGTCATGTTGCCATTTTGATCATCATAAATACTCTAAAAAGATTTTTCAAGGCTAGCTTTGATATCAGGAAAAGAGGAGAAAAGAGAGAGCAATGTAAAAATTTAATGAATGGTGCTGGGTTGCTTTAGGCAAGAGGAAGGTTTTAAATGTGAAAAGTTAATCTTATCTATTTGTGGCTCCAGTAAACAATATTAAGAGTGGCTTAAACTAAGCTAATCCCCCAAAGACTCTGGAAAAATACTCCTTGTGCAAGATGACATTTCACACGTATGTCCTGGGGCTGATCCTCAGTTTTGTATGAATTATTTCAAACCAGATGTCCATATATGCCAATGTTTGGGGGGGGGGAAGAAAACAAATTCTGTTGTCCCAATGCAGAGTCTAATCCCGTGTATACTGTTTTGTTAAGTCATGCTGTGGTGGCTGAACACCACACTTCCAGGAGGGCCAGCAGTTTACCTTATGGAAGCCTATTGCAGAAAGATTCTTCTTAGAAACAAATTTTGTTTAGGGATGTGAATCTGGCATGGTGAGGGGTTTTTATACTGTATATATAATCTGTCTGTCCCCATAGCAGAGGACAGATTTCAACCAGGACTCTTCAATTCCAAGTTCAGTCCTGGTTAAAATCTGTCCTCTGCTATGAAGTTCCTAGGGGCCCTGAAGCCTTCCAGATGTAGTTATGGAGTTGTGTTCTAGTCTCTTTTGTAGCTCTGGAATGTACAATTTCCATTCTCCAAAAACCACACAAGGCTTTGCATAGCAGGCATGGACCTGAGTGGTTAGGTAAAGCTCCTTTAAAAAAAAAAAAAAAGTATTCCAGATGTATTGACGTGCAAAATAGTATCTTAAGCTTCTGCAAAGCTAAGGCGCTCATTTTGGTTCTTAATTGCTCGTCCCCAAAATCATTCAGGCCAATTTTCTGGCTTTATCTAAACTGACATGGCTCAGGAGGCATAAAAGGAGTACTTATGCTGCCCTGAGTCTCCAGAGAGGGGCGGCATATAAATTTTAATAATAATAATAATAATAATAATAACAACAACAACAACAACAACAACAACAACAACAACAACAACTCAAGATCTTGTGGGACTTTAGGATTCAGACTGACAGGCACTTGGTCCACAACACACCTGACATAACAATAGTTGAAAAGAAAAAAGTATGGTTCATTGACATTGCAATACCTGGTGATGCACGAATTGAAGATAAGCAGCAAGAAAAAATCACAAAGTACCGGGACTTACAAATTGAAGTTGAGCGACTGTGGAAAAAGAAATCGTGTGTTGTCCCGATTGTAATTGGAGCCCTCGGAGCAATACCCAAAGGGCTACCCCGCTATTTAGAAATTCTAAATTTGCCGGACTTGAACATTTTGACTCTACAAAAAACCACCTTACTCGGAACAGCTTACATCCTCTGACGATACCTTAACAGTTCCTAGGTCCTTGGTTAGGACTCGAGCTGCTGAGCTATTAACCAGCCTCAAAGGCTGTGAATTTCACTAAAGATTAACCAATAAATAATAATAATAATAATAATAATAATAATAATAATAATAATAATAATAATTAATAATAATAATAGGCCAGCATTTTAACAAAAGTCAGCCAGACTACAGAAAACCCAGGATCACCAAAACAGAGCCATTACCCAGTTCATCTGTGCCTAATTTCCTTATCACTGTAATTGGTTAATAATTGTGAAAAAGCTTTATCCTCCATTTGTTTGATCTCAAATTAGCAGTGGAGTTAATAAAAGTGATGTGAATCTGATCATTCTGAACCCAATGGTACATAAGGTTTTTTAATATTTAGGCAACAAACATTCAGGAAACTGAATTGAAGGTCAATAAGAACATGACAGAAATTATAATAAACAAATGAATAAAATATTAAATATATTTTCCTTTTAAATGGGTTTGCTTTAAAAAATACAATACATACGCACACTGTATATAATACATTATCTTCTTTAAAACAACCCACTTAAAGATATATATGAAGTGTTTTATATAGTTGGTAATACATTGGAGAAATTCTGTATGATGGTAATGTTCACAGATGATAACTGTTATTTGGAATAAAATGTTGCAACATGGAGCCTCCATTTTGAGAAATATACACCACTTCTTTGGAAAATCATGCATAACCTGGGAAGTCCTGGGAAAGCTTGCTGGGTCTTGACTTAAGGCATTGTGACAATTACCAAGCTGTCTTGGTTCTGGATATGACTTGTGTGTGTGCAGCATGTTCTGTTCTCTTGAAATGTGTTTTTGAGAGTAAGAGGGGATGAAGATGTTCTGCAGAAAGTCCTGAACAGCTGCTGCCAAAGGAGGCGACACTTGGGTACAGGAATACAAAATATGATCCTTAAGGGGCAACTGCTACTTCCCCATGTTCACAAATAACAGGGCTATCAAAGTCCATGATCTTTCAATTTTTAAAGAGAAGCATAGAATAGAATTCTTTATTGGCCAAGGGTGATTGGACACACAAGGAATTTGTCTTGGTGCATACGCTCTCAGTGTACATAAAAGAAAAGATACGTTCGTCAAGAATCATAAAGTACAACACTTAATGATAGTCATAGGGAAACAGTCAATATAAATCTTAAGGATACCAGCAACAAGGTTACAGTCATAAGAAGACAGTTTCTAAAAGTGATGGGTAGTTTGCAGAAAGAAAAATGAAATTGTTTCTATCCGAAATAAATCTGCATATGTACCTTTGGTGTAATCCTATCTATTATTTATATTGGGGTGTCCAACCTTGGCAACTTTAAGACCTGTGGACTTCAACTCCCAGAATTCCCCAACCAGCTATGATTTATATAGCTCTTATACTATTTTATTTATTTATGTGTTAAATTTATTTGCCATAGACAAAAATAAGCAAAAATTAAATTTACTATGCCACGGACATGACAATTATATAAACACTTCTGCAAGCCACTATCTAAATTGCTATTCATATTTTATGACAGCTTATTCATGAAAACTTGCCTTTCCCTCTTCCAAGAAATGTTTTTATTGCTACTTTTCTGAAGGAATTCTGAATCACTGTGGGGTTGGGAGAGGAAGCAGGAAGAATGAGATATCCAGGGCGAGGACAGGATCCCTTCCCAGCCAGGTATCGTATTATGCAATAAACACACAATTTTACAGTATCACAAAGCTCTTTGTTTCATCAGACTGACAGAGTTGAAGTTGATGGAACAAGTAGGGCAATATCTCAGTGTTGTTGGGTGTTGTTGGGTGAAACTGGGATGAAGTAGACTGATGATGGGTGGAAATTTATTAAGGTTTCTTTTCCATGGTATGTTTGTATAAACATATCCATTGGAGCTTTTTTTTTATTATGATGTTGATAAGTGGGAGGCCTTTTCTGTTGTGACTAACAAGAAATACTCAAAAATGACTTAATAGCCTATAATGATCACTTTGTTTGGGATTGGAGATAAAATAACTTGTATTTGTGTTGATTGGGATACATATATATCTGGTTCAGTTGATGTAATTGAAAGAAACGTAGCTATTACTTGTGTACTTGTAAGGTGTAATTTTTACTTCATACATCTTGAGGATATGGACAATGATCCTGAGTGGTTAAAATGTGAGGATATAATTTGATGTCTTCCAGGGGTGCGTAAATCGGCCTCAGTCATCCTGACCGTTGGCAAAGACTTATGGGTAATGAAGTCTCAGTTCTGGATGAACCAAAATATCCAGATTTATTTCATGGCTTCAGGCTTGATGTGGAACTAGAAACTAGATTGATCTCCTTGAAGGGCAGGTTTCACTGAGTGTCCTTCAGTTTTATGTAGTTTTGATAACATCAACATAACCAGACTAAATATATATTTTACAGTAAGGTTCGAAGGCTGAAGTTGCTTGATGATATAGCATGGGTAGTATCTTTTTTGTGGAATAACCTTATTCACGTTTGACTAAAGCCTGGTTAAATCTGACTTGAAATCTAAATGAAATTTTTGCTTCGTACTTTCCCTAAGTGTTCATTTCCATTAATATCTTAAGATTAAATTAACCATGTCTTGAACAAATGTAGAAGCCTGTTTTGGATAACTACAGGATGATGTGTATAAAAGCAACTTCGGGTTATTCCTTTCACTTTGTCTCACCCTTCCCTCAAAATTGTGGAACTAAGTTTATTTTAACCATCATTTCTGAACAGGGTGAATATCCTTTAACTTTGCAATTACCAGTAACTGAGTTTGCCATATTTATTATCTTTTTAAAGACAGACTGGAAAAAAAATCATTAAAGTAGTTTAATATTCTTAATATTAAACTGCTTTAATACAGGAAGTCCTTGACTTATGATCGTTTAGTGACAATTCAAGTTACAATAGCCCTGAAAAATGTAACTTACAAAGAATCCTCATGCTTACAATCATTGCAGCATCCCTATGGTCACCAGATCACGATTTGAATGTTTGGCAACTGGCGTGTTTTTATGATGGTTAAAGCATTGCTGTTTGATCCCATTTGCAACCTTCTCAGCTGGATTCTGTGAAGCAAAGTTAATGGGGAAGCTGGCAGGATATTGCAAGTTAAGGTCACATGATGTCTTGCTTAATGACTATAGTAAAAAAAAAAAAAGATAACAAAACCAGGTACGGTCATGTGATACCCTACTTAATGACCGCTCGATTTAACAATATATTTTCCAATCCAAACTCTGGTTGTAAGTCAAGGACTACCTATATGAAATTCTATTTATTTTTTTAAAAGTCCATTTTTTTCAAATGATACTTGTTATAATAGTATATTATATATTTAACAGGGAAACCTTAATTTGAGATTCCTTATATAAGTTCTAGTGATTTTTTTTTCTGTGAAGTTCTTTCTTTTTTAAAAAAAAATCTTTATTTACATTTGTCATTAAAAAAGAAGACAATACACCAGATAAATGACAAACAAAACAACAAAACAAATAACATACATGCCTATAAGTAGTACCTTAATAACTTAACATTCGGTACAATATATCTATGTTACATTCAACTTAATAGTTGAATAGGCATAACAACTTAATTTACATTTATAAATCAATATATATAAATCAAGTTCTAGTGATTATTTTCATACCAACTAAAGTGTATTTATATCAATTAGGTATACCGCTCATATTTTCTTTGTAGGAAACTGCAATTTCAAAATATTCTAGTTGAATATTTATCTGCAGCTTAGAGTGATAAGCCACAATTTTAGCAAATTCTAAATTTGCTAAATGACCAAGTATTGTGCTGCCTAAATGCTCTCATTTGGTTTTCTCATCAATGGAACAGCTTCAATATCTAGGAATTCTGGTGGAGGGAAAAAAAAGTTTGAATCTAGCTGCCCAATTTGTCAGTACTTCTAAGACAGTAATTACAGTCACACATTGCATTAAACCAATGCGCTTAGCAATGATTAGTGGATAATCCATAGTTGCCTCAATTTGGGTAACAGTACTCAGTATCTTTTTCTGCTTCTGTTTAACATCTACACGAAGCTACCGGCAAGATCAACTACTACCATGGGCTGAGATTTCATTAGTATGCTGATAACACCCAGCATATTGTCTGAGCCCATGGTGAATTAAGTGATGTTGTGAACTCCCTCTCACAGTGCCTGGAGGTTGGTAAGGGCAGAATGGGGAGCAATGGGCCCTGGCAAGACAGAAAGGCTGTGAGTTGGGGTTCTTTAGTCCATGGAGAATTGCCATCTCTGGTGTTGCCATAATCTGGGGGCTCTCCTGGACTCATGACTCCTGCTCAAGGAGCAGATGGCAGTCGTGGCCAGGAGGGCCTTTGCACAACTGCAGGTTGTGTATCAGTTAAGTCCTTTCCTGGACCAATCCCTGCTAACAGTCACTCAAGACTAAGTCATCTCCCATCTTAATTATTGCAACATACTCTACATGGGGCAGGGACATGGTAGCTCAGTGGCTAAGATCCTGAGCTTGTCGATAGAAAGGTCAGCAGTTCAGCGGTTCGAATCCCTAGTGCTGTGTAACGGGGTGAGCTCCCGTTACTTGTCCCAGCTTCTGCCAACCTAGCAGTTCGAAAGCACGTAAAAACTGCAAGTAGAAAAATAAGGACCACCTTTGGTGGAAAGGTAACAGTGTTCTGTGCACCTTTGGCGTTTAGTCATGCCGGCCACATGACCACAGAGACGTCTTCAGACAGAGCTGGCTCTTTGGCTTTGAAATGGAGATGAGCACTGCCCCTTAAATTCGGGAACGACTAGCACATATGTGTGAGGGGAACCCTTACCTACATGGGGCTGTCCAGAAGTTTCAAAATGCAGCACCCTGCATAGTTTTGTGCAAGCCTAGATTTGCGCATGTGTTACCTCTCCTACAAGAGCTGCATTGGCTGCTGATTCGCTTCCAGGACCAATTCAAAGTTCTGGTTATCACCTTCAAACCCTAAATGGTTTGGGACCAGGTTTTTTGAAGATTGACTTTTCCCAGTCATATCTATCTGACCCACCAGAGTGAGGAGGCAGGGGGTGCTATGGATCTCTCTCCAAGGAGGTTCATCTAGCGGGACCAAGAAAAGGCCATGGCTCCCTCCCTATGGAACGTCACCTCTGCAGAGATAAGATTACCAAGCCTGGGGACCCCCAGAATGATATGGAGCCCATCAAGTGGTTCTTCCAATTGTTGTCACCAGGGACATGGGGGTTTATTGTTTGTTTTTGTTTTTTGTTTTTTGCATTAGAGTTTTATCCTTGCAAACAACCCAGAATCACTGAGAGTAACATGGGCAACCATATACATTTTAATAAATACTGTAAATACTAAAATACACTCCTCCCCATGATTTCATCAAAGTCACACATAAAATGTGTATTGACCTGTCTTAAATCAGCTTCTTTTAAACTGCTTGTACAGTGTCTCAGCTTGCAAAACAGTGGTGGGCTATAAGTTGCTTTGAGCACTTTCTTTCTCAGCACAGACACACAAAGATAACAACAGTCACAGCCTGTTTGCTTTTCCTTCCGGCTTGGTCTCTTCCCTTCAACATTCACCTTCCAGTTTTCTCTTCACTGCAATGTATCTCTTTCCCGCCATTGAAATCCCTTAGAAGAATGAGTGACAAGTCAGAAGACCAGTGTTTTGTATAAAATAAAAACAGGGTGTATTAACTCTGGTTAATGCAGGGTTGTGGACTTAGTTGCTTGAAAGTTGTGTTATTATTCCAAAGAACCACTTCCCTTATTTATGTCTCTGTAGGTTTAGTTAGTTTAGTTTAGTTTTATTAGATTTATATACCGCCCTACTCCTGAAGGACTCAGGGCGGTGAACAGGCACAAAATAAAATACATAAATACAAAAGTTAAAAGACATAATTAAAACCAGATTAAATAATTTAGCCCGAGACAATTAAAAAATCCCAATAATTTACAACAGATTAAAATTTCGATTTAAAAGAATTTTAAAACACGGGAGAAAATTAGGCCAGGCCGGCTTGCTGGAATAGGAGAATCTTAAGAGCACGGCGGAAAGTGCGTAGATCCGGGATCCTCCGTATCTCTGGGGGAAGCTCGTTCCAGATAGTGGGTGCCCCCACAGAGAAGGCCCTCCCCCTGGGGGCCGCCAGTCGACATTGTTTAGCTGACGGCACCCGGAGGAGCCCCTCTCTATGAGAGCGTACCGGCCGGTGGGAGGCTGCTTGTGGTAGTAGGCGGTCCCGTAAATAACCAGGTCCTAAGCCAGGTCAGCATAACCAGGTCAGCAATTTGTCTTACTGGTAAGACTCTGTGATTCCAGAAAAATAAGAGTTGAAAAGGGTCATTAATTTGGGATGGGTAGATGTCTAACCAATCTCTGGATCAGTGCAGCATCCCTGACTAAAGGCTGTTCAGTATCTACTTGAGCTCACTACCTTGTTTAATAATTAGTTCCACTCTTTAAAATGAAATATTCAGAGCATAGCAGTGCTTCTCATTTCTCAGCTGCTTAATACATGTATTTACTACATGAAGTCCTATTTGAGCTCTGGGTCTGAGGTGGATAGATCAGTCTTCCATTACATTTTTTAATCTCTATATACTGAGACTGTGATGCTTTTACCCTTGAAAATTATCGTATTTTTTGGAGTATAAGACGCACCTTCCCTCC